TACATCAACAGTTAGAGACTTTATGGACTGGTGCAACCACTCGGTCTAGCCAACCTTAACCATCGTCCAACATAATCCAACTTGTCGTAGTATGGCACGTCGACGAGGAATAACCATGCGCATTACATGTTCCTGCCACTTCAGTCAATGAAGGTTCACCTCAGTAACTGACTTGCCTAGTATCCTTCGCATGACGTCAAAATCGCCGACAAAGTGAATCCACGACACACAAGCAATGTTACAAAGACAAATATCATCGAAAACCGGCAGTCGGTTGATCTTTAGTTTTCAAAGCCGCCTCACCGATACACAACAAGACAGTAAAAACTGCAGCGCAGCCTACTGGACCGTTTACAGTCGCATAAACTGTCGGCATTGATCGAAAAGACACAAGCTGACAAATGCCGAAAAGCTTTCTCTATTCGACCTAAGATTTCGTCACCAACCAACACGTTCTGGTTGATGAAACTCCTCAAGTGAGTAAGTGGTCAACACATTCCACCACTTCACTACCTATCACATAATTGGAAGTCCCTGCAACAGACCAATCCTGCAGCCATCGTCTTACATCTGACAGGTGTCACTGAAACGTATGCCTAATATACACAAATTCCAGCTCAACGCGTTTAGAAGACCCTCAATTTTGTCAGTGTCTCAACCTAGCAAGACAATATCATCTACATACTCCAGGTCAACCAGATGATCTCCAGGGAGTAGGTCAATCCCTGTGAAGTCGCACGTATTTAAGCTTATGTTCATTAACACGTCAATAACGAAGTTAAATACGAACGGTGACAGTGGAAATCCCTGCCGGACACCATTGATCGTCGTTAATTCTGAAGTCAACCCTCCATAAGCCAGTACACAGCTGCACAAGTTCCAATAGGGAGCTTTGATTAGCGTTGTATACTTGTCCGGCACCCCTTCACAGTTAGACTTCTACAACACCACAACCCTGAATCTACCCGGCTTTCTCGGGTTGGCCGTTCTCCACCTCCAGTAGGACATCGGATAATTATGCACCCTAGGATCTTGGACACAACATTAGTCAAACTAATGCACCTATGGATGTCGCAAGAAGATTTCTCACCCATCTTATACACTCGACTGATCAGTCAAGTACACCAGTTTGACGGAACTATCTCTGATCTTCATACACTACATACAACCTCCATCACTGAAAACCAGGTGGCAAACTGTCACATCCTACTGCCTGCTTTACATTGCTTCGCGTTCGATACAGACTTCTCAACTTCTAGGAGAGTTGAAGCACCGACATCCACATCCCATTCAGGTTGGATGTCCTGTAACTGAAACCTTGCAGTGGGCTAGTTGAATTGCACCGCCCAACGATCTTGCCTCATATCCTGTGACATTATCACGGTACCATCCTCTAAGGTGATGATTTCACTCATCATCGTTCTCTTCTTAGTGGCATCCTTAATAAGCCTAAATACTTAATGAGTGTTATCTAATGCTGATTCATTCTCTCTATCTCTCTCGCTTTCGCCATTCACTACTACTCACGATCAACGTGAAGACTTTTGGTCAATTTATGTTGGGGTCGCTTTCGCTCTTCCCCCTGGTCACAGCCAGACAGCCAGCTAGCTAGCTAGCTGGAATCAGTCTTCTCATATCAATCACTTCGGATGACGTAACAGAAATCCAATGACGTTTGCTAACCTTCAGGTGTTGGTTAACAACTGTCGTTACTGCTGTTTCTGCAGCACACTTAATATCACTCCGGATTTTCTCGGCACGAGCATTGATGTCACGTTAAAATAAATACCTAGTTAACTTCTCTCCAAGTACGTTTTTGGCATCCTCATATACCAACCATCCATAGATAGGCTTTACGATCGCATGTTTTCTGCGACCAGTAAGGCGCAGACATACACGAGCCCGTACTAGCGTGTGATTCGAGTCCAAACTGGTATTCCAAAAACAGCAACAATCCTCCACCGATGGCTTCTATCGATGTGATTTGTCTGCGTTCATCGTTGGTTTGAAGTCGACAGAATCCATGCAAGACAGTGTCTCTCCTCATACCTGAACTTAGTGCTGACCAGAAACAAGTGATTGTCACAACAAAATTGAAACCAACGGCCACCGTTGTCGATTCGTTGGTATACGATTCCGTAAATACTCCTAACATGCCTTTCCAATTGATTCAGATTCCCTATTTGAGTGTTAAAATCACTTGGCATTATGACTACATCTGAAGGTTTTGCTTTCTACACAAAAGTTGACAGCTTTTCTCACCCTTTGTATTATCCGAACTGGAGTCGGTGGGTGTGTGGGCGGACGTTACAAACAGGCATTCCCTAGTCCTCACAGGTCCATACAGTCGAGTACATGGACGACTGTTATTTAGCCGAGAAGCACACTTTCTGCTCTACTCCTCAATGCTATGCCCACACCAGCGACTTCACGAGACCTGGCCACTGGGTCTCCACGTACCCTTTGGGTGAATTTTAGAGATTCACTACAATAGTCAGGCAACGTCGATTTAAAACGACACTTGAATCCTGTATGCGTGTCTCAGAGACACAGTATACATCCGAAGTTCGAAATTTCAGACTTCTGGTGAATGATGTTTGTTGTCCGATTTGGCGCAGAGTTCGGACGTTGAAATCGGTAGCGGGTGGGACCTTAGAAGACTGCGGATGAGGTTTCGATGGCTTTGATGGTTGGCAATGGTTGCAGAGTGAGGTTGCGGAGGGCATAAGATGCCTAGAATCGGTGTCAGGAGGTGAAGGCAAAGGAGTAGACAGAGTTGAGGATAGATTATATTTGGTTGGGTCTTGTGTAGTACTGGAAGCGTGCAGACAATTGACACTTTCCGGCTATCCACACCGTGGAAGAATATTTCTTCTTGAGGTACCTGGAAGAGGACAGGATTTATGCGACCGCCGAATCCATGGGACTGCTATCACACCCCATCCAGCTAGTAGCAGTACGACTTCGCCCTCATACCTCCATCACTGTGTAGTAATTTACACTATGACAGGAACTGCTTTTCGTCTCAGCACTACACAACAAACCTTTTTGGCCTCGCATGGCCTCGAGCGAACAAGCTATCCAGTTGTTGTGGCTTGTTAGGTCATTGTGATGTGGAAGCCGGACCACCACATCAAGGTAGCAGCTACCGGTCGAGACTACGCCTGTACCCTCGGCTTTGAATGAGAATTTAGACAGTTTTCAATCGAACTCACCTTTCATATCATCGGAACTACAGTCGGTGGGGGCGTAAGTAGAGATTGCTAAGAGACAGTGGGTAGTTTCATTACTCTATTTTGTTCTCACTGTCTCGTTTAGTTGAACAGTGCATTAGCGACTGTCAAGTGGGATCTAGTCGAGTGGTGAACTCTGTCTACGCTTTCAGTGTTATACCTACACCTCCAAGACTACGAGAGTGGGCTGAGCGTCTCTCTCTCTCTCACACACACATGCACACATTCATCGCTCCAGTTGCTGGAGTTTTGGCTAGTGAAGCTCGTTGACCGATTAGACGGAGGGTGTAGACACCGAAAGCTCCAATACGTAGTTTAGAAAGTGATTTCAGGAGATCAAATATGTTGTTTCGTGGATTCAGATCGTTTTTAAGGGGTTCAGGAGCTGGAATAAATCAAAGATGTAGGATTATTGGCTGAGAGACGTGGATGAAGATGAGAAGGTAAGGATGTGGAAGGTGGAAATTGGTCTGAGGGATCTTGAAGGGTGACAGAGTTGTGAGGGTGATTGACAATTTCCGGTTGCCTATATCATGGAAGGCTATGTCTTCTTGAGGTACCTGAAAAATAAAGGTTAGTGCACGACCGCAGAGCCTAAGTGACATCTGCTTGAGGTCAGTTACAAACGATCATTTTGCAAGTTAGAGATTTAGGTTGGTTGCATTTGTATCCGACTATATGGCCATGTCACAGACATCGGCATCCCTTCCCTATGGGAAGGCAGCATCAAGGTGGCACAGCTAGGCGTTCAAGGGAAACACCTTACTGATGTCACGCCCCCCATCCAGCAAGTAGTACGACTTCGCCCACGGATCCCCATCACAGTGCAGTGATTTACACTATAATTGTAACTGTTTTTTGTCAAACCGCTAGGTAACAAGCCATTTTGATATATTTAGGGTAGCAGCTATCGGTCGGAAATGTCTAGGTTGAAACTGATTCACTTAATATAATGAAGAAAGTGGAAGTGTTTAAAGAAACCTAGACTAGAACACTAGTATGGATGGAGTATGACGAAAACATACTAGTCAGTAAGCTGTGGAATTATCAAGAATTTTGTTATGTACACAATTATTTCACCCTTAGTTTTAATCTACAGAACGCCCCACACAGACATATTTGCATCATAATATTAACTGCATAATGGTGACGATAGTGAACATTACACTTAGTTGCTTTTGCGTAAACGTTTAGTGTTTCATGATGAGATTCGAGTAAAGATCAGACACAATAAACCAGTATATTGAGGACTATTGGGTGAGATTACTTTCATTACCCAATGACCAGTATTTGAAAATTCTATTCATATGCTGCTGGAAATCTTAACAATGATGTGTACTATAAAAACCTACTTGATTTATTCCTAACGAGAATTAATAGTTATCACATAGTCAAACCGATAATCAATATGATGCTTTCCGTTTCCAAATGAAGTAGATTTAGACTGGGATGTGAAGTCCTGACTGGGTAGACAGTATGAATACGATCATACATGTCATGAATTCATATAGTAGTCGGGGCTGAAAACCCTTGATGAGTGAAGAGAAATAAAAATCTGGTCACCAGTCAGGTCTCGTAGCTTAGCTGGTAGAGCGCGCATGCCGGTAATCCAGTGGTCGCTCGTTCGAATACTGCTGCAGCCCAAATTTTCATTTCACGTTCAATCATCACTCGTATCAATTCGAAATTACTTACTACGCTTGGTTCACTTAAAGAACTTTGCACAATACTTCATTGGGAATATATAAAAAGTAGTCTTATAATTACCTGTTTATGCCTCTCTGTAGGTAATCGTCCTTCACAACCCGTTCTTGGAATAGATTCTGGCTTTTCGTAAATTTTCTCAGAAATATATTGAAAAACACGAAGTATGCTATCAATAGTACCAACAATTAAGCATACACGCTCTGTTGTCCCTAAAAGTTGATTTCTCGTTAAGTATTAAAATGTTAGTACATACCAGGATAGAATGCATTAGCTTTTGACATTTTCACTTTAGCTGACGTTTGGTTTTGAATTTCAGTGATCGCTTCACCTCCTTTACCAATGATTGCACCAGCAGCGATTGACGGCACAAGGATTTTAAAGTGAACACTACCTGGAAATCAAGTAGGAGTTGCATAATACAACTTTCATATACAACGCGTCAGTTAAGGAAACGTGAATAGTTTAGATATAAACCGTTGAAAGTCAGTCAAATAGAAACATGGGACCTGGTATTACTACGCAACCGTCCAAGCTGCAATACTTTATATCAGCACACCAAGCGAGAATGCAGTAACATGAAAAATACACACATATTCGAGCCAACTGAAACGATGAAAGTTCACGTCCCTACATCCCCCAAAATTTTACTCCTTTCTTTTAGGTTATTAAACTGGTGACACCACGATAAATGACCCATGTACCGAAGGCGACGGTGGCCAAACTCTTGAAGCTTTTTCGTATCCACCACCTTTAGTAGCCATATAGAATGCAGATCAATTCAGAAAACTTTTAATGTTGGTAAATTACAAATTACTTTCAACACACACTCAATGGTAGCACCGACAGTGAAATAATGAATTACCCAGACTGGCCAATTCCTATTGTGTTTATCAGTTCGACTGCTCATGAAGCCAGTTAAATCGGTTATCATACGAATTTTATTTTCAATGATCACAAGCATCTTCCAGAGTGGTTAAGTAAACATGTAGTAAAGACTATTATCAGCTCCATGTTAGCACAGTTGGTTGAAATAAATTTCAAGGTGTATACGATATAAGTCATTCCCCATCACGTACCGGGTTCGCATCAACATGTCTAAAGCTTCCCGACTCCGAATCCTTCAGACTGCAGAGGCAACAGCAATCAGGACCAAGCAACCTGAGCCTCTATTTTCAGGAAAACCAAGTGCTGCCGCTACAACTACCATGATACGAATCAAAACACACAAAAATCGTTTACATTCCACTCCAGGAAATCTAATTTCCTAATTTCATACCAAAGATACCGCTTTAGACCTATAATTCGGAATAATTTCAACACATTCTCCTGACTCATTTCGTTCCTTAACATAAGGAACATTCTATCACGCTATTATTCCTCAAATTATCCTTCTTAGTTTATTTCGACCAACTCGCATAAACACCTTCTTACTGTTTGATCAAACCATCACTTGATAGTGTTACATAAACCGTATAATCCTTCTTGGAAATCAAGTAGTTGGCTGGTGTGGATTTCAGTGACAGTTGATTCTGTCATTACCTTTCATAGCATAATCAAGAAAGCCATCACAGTCCACCTAGAGAGCAACACTCTGTTCGTAGAAATTCCTCTTCCTTGGCAAACCTCCCTACAGTCAGAGAAATTAGGGTCAGGTCTAAAGATGATAGGATACCTGTAGGTGTCATTTTCATAGACTTTAGTAAGGCGTACGACAAGGTACCTCATTCTAGGTTGCTCGAGAAGCTGGAAAGTTTCGAAATCACTGGCAGTCTGCTCGCATGCATAAGAGACTTTCTTGTTGGTGGGAGGCAAAGAGTTAGGACCAATTCTCAAAACTCGGTAGAGTGGAGGGCAGTAAGGCATAGTCCTAGGCCCCTGCTGTTTCTCCTATACGTGAATGAGCTGCCAAATATCACGAAATCTTCTACAGTTCCCCACGCTGATGATGTAAAACTCTGGTGGGAAATCAGGAACGATGAGGATGGAAAGCAGCTCAGTGGTGCCCTTGAAGTAAAGACAGGAGAAAGACAAGGCTACCTACTATCACCCATGATCTTCCTGATTGTGGTCGACTGGATCATGCAGCAAACCTTGAGGAGTGAGAAGATGGGCATACACTGGCTGGACCGATGAAAAGACCACAGAAGAAGATTTTGATTTCTCCGGTGATGATTTATGTATAATGTCTTATCATACAAACTCGAAGATCTACAGGCGAAAACTAACAAGTTAACAGAAGAGGTAGCGAAGACGGGACTTCAAGTGAACGTAGAGAAGACAGAGGTGATGGAGATACCCAACCAACAACAAAGACCGATCACCATCAACAGGAGAAGCCTAAATGAAGTAGCTTCTTTCACCTACACACCTACCTAGGCAGCATCGTTTCCACTACAGGCGGCACAGATGAGGACGTCAAAGCCGGGATCGGAAAGACAGGTCTTCATTAACCCGAAACCAGTGTGGAGATCTACTGAAGACAACTCAGCACAGAGAACGAGATCCGGATTTTCAACACCAATGTCAAGTCAGTGCTTCTATATGGTTCAGAAACTTGGCGCGTTACGAAAAGCATTTCCAACGAACTACAGACATTCATCAACAGCTGCCGACTACGCTCACTCGATAATGAAGATCAGATGGCCAGAAAGAATCAGCAAAAGGGACTCACTGTGGCTGGCTACGAACCAACCAAGAACCTATCACTCAACAAATATGCAGAAGAAAGTAGAGATGGATTCGGCGTATACCGAGAAGACCGTTTAAGGACACCAGGCACCAGGCCGTCGGGTGGAATCCAAAGGGGAAAAGACGAGTTGGCCTCCAAGGCGAGGGTGACATGTAGGAGATGGTGTGAGGAAGAAATGAAAGCTTCTGGGGAGACGTGGAGTCAGGTTCAAAAGACTGCAGAGAACAGAGTGTAATGTAGACGTATTACTGAAACCCTATGTTCTAGTAGGAACCCAAGGGACAAATAATAACAATCATAGGTTCTCAGCCTCTCATCCTCAAACAACAAATCTGATGGCTTATTTCGTCTTACATACAACAGTTTTTTTTAATTGAATTCCTGAACTGCACTAATAAACTGATAAGCGAAATCTCACTATCGTTGGCGCATAATTCCCCAACATGTACATATAACTGTAGGCGCCGAAGTCATCGGAAAGAATATCCAAATAGCTTTTGCAATAAACTTGAGTGAGAACTAACCGGTTTCCTGCATCTGTAGAGTCAAAAACAGCATAAATTTCGCCATTCTGTGCAGAAATTTGATTATTTAATTAAAAAGCCTCGTGAAAAATACAATAAAGCTCAAGTGATGTCTCGTTATCCAGTTGAAGTTCGATTCAGCAACCCACTATAAATAGTGACGCTACTTTAGCTAGGTTTTTAGACTTTCTGCCAAAACCGGTAAGACTATCAAAGCAAAGAAAAGCGATAATCAACCATTCCGAAGTAATCAGGAATATATTTGAAAGAAAAGCATATAGATGAAGTGAAATACATGATCATTAGTGGACCGTGCACAGTGAATGTCACCTATTTTAAGTTAGGCAATAGACCAACTAATATCGAACGACTGACTACATCATCGATCCACTTCATGCTTCAATCAAACAAAGCTTTGTGCTGTTTTTATATACTTCCGTCGCCACGTTTTATCTGGCTCCAATTGCCACTTTTATAGATATCTCGTTGTAGCTTGAATCAAGTACATGTGGACGCTTGTTCAGCTATCTTCAGATTCCACCAATAATGGTCACTCAGTTTCTTCGTAAATACAGAAGGCGGTAATAGAACAGAGTGTATTTACAACGTCAACAATACATACAAGCTACAAGGTTTGTGTATATTACAATGGCCTAGGCTATTTTCAGGCCTACTGCATTTAAATTCTATTAATTTTTCACCTCTTCAACCAACCCGATACTTACATGTTGGTTGATGTGTTTATCCCCGAAATTTTGAAGTAAAGCGATTGGTTAAAAAAAGGCTTCAGGTATGTGCGGCTTCTTAAGGAGATTTTGTCAGTCTTTATGCACACTATAACAGCTGTGAAGACTGAGCCACCCTGGGAAAAAAGCTAGCAGATTTTGAATTGTGCTATGATTTAGTACGATCACTTATAGCTTTTTTAATAGTGTAAGCAGCAGCCATTCTAAAGATAGGGGAGCGGTGACTCACGATACAATGTGAACGTTCCAGCAACCTATAATGCAGATAACCCCCCTAGAAATAATAACGTCCACTAACTGACTGACAAAATCCACAAAAAACCTAGCACCCAAGTGCATAGCCTCAATTTACCACACTTCAAAGTAGTAAAAAAGAACACATGGATAGGAAAAGTGATATCAAGGTAGAAAACGTTATGTGAGAGAATAAACAATTTGAAGATAAAGGTCAGTGTCAATATTCAGATGTCAAGGAGTGAATACACTGTGACCTATTTTCAGCCATCCCACCATGGGACCCCAACGACTGATTCCTATCGTCTTGGGGCTCCCCAGTCACAGTCTACACCTCGTGACGTGGCTTATACCAACAGCCACGGACTTTACGGACTGGTGCTAAGTCTTGCTTTGGACAACCTCAACTATCGTCCAACCTACTCCAACTTCCACAGTATGGCACGTTGAAATAGGGAATGACAGCATGCACAACACATCCCAGCCATCTCAGTAGATTAAGGTTAACAACCTATCAACCAACTTGCCTGTCTTATTTACCACCCTCAGCCTGACCTCGGCATTGTTCATGCGGTGATTCCACCACGTGGAAGCATTGTTGAGAAGGCACCTATGATCAGAACCCCGTAGTCGTTATTTGTCTACTTTCAACCGACACCTCACAGTCGTATAGCAGGAAAGAATAAACTGCAATGCAGTTTACTGGTCCTATGGTAGATAATCGGACATCTGATCAGTTGGCGACACAGACGACAAATGCCAAATAGCTTTCTCTATTCGACCTAAGATTTCGTCACCAACCAACACGTTCTGGTTGATGAAACTCCTCAAGTGAGTAAGTGGTCAACACATTCCACCACTTCACTACCTATCACATAATTGGAAGTCCCTGCAACAGACCAATCCTGCAGCCATCGTCTTACATCTGACAGGTGTCACTGAAACGTATGCCTAATATACACAAATTCCAGCTCAACGCGTTTAGAAGACCCTCAATTTTGTCAGTGTCTCAACCTAGCAAGACAATATCATCTACATACTCCAGGTCAACCAGATGATCTCCAGGGAGTAGGTCAATCCCTGTGAAGTCGCACGTATTTAAGCTTATGTTCATTAACACGTCAATAACGAAGTTAAATACGAACGGTGACAGTGGAAATCCCTGCCGGACACCATTGATCGTCGTTAATTCTGAAGTCAACCCTCCATAAGCCAGTACACAGCTGCACAAGTTCCAATAGGGAGCTTTGATTAGCGTTGTATACTTGTCCGGCACCCCTTCACAGTAAGACTTCTACAACACCACAACCCTGAATCTACCCGGCTTTCTCGGGTTGGCCGTTCTCCACCTCCAGTAGGACATCGGATAATTATGCACCCTAGGATCTTGGACACAACATTAGTCAAACTAATGCACCTATGGATGTCGCAAGAAGATTTCTCACCCATCTTATACACTCGACTGATCAGTCAAGTACACCAGTTTGACGGAACTATCTCTGATCTTCATACACTACATACAACCTCCATCACTGAAAACCAGGTGGCAAACTGTCACATCCTACTGCCTGCTTTACATTGCTTCGCGTTCGATACAGACTTCTCAACTTCTAGGAGAGTTGAAGCACCGACATCCACATCCCATTCAGGTTGGATGTCCTGTAACTGAAACCTTGCAGTGGGCTAGTTGAATTGCACCGCCCAACGATCTTGCCTCATGTCCTGTGACATTATCACGGTACCATCCTCTAAGGTGATGATTTCACTCATCATCGTTCTCTTCTTAGTGGCATCCTTAATAAGCCTAAATACTTAATGAGTGTTATCTAATGCTGATTCATTCTCTCTATCTCTCTCGCTTTCGCCATTCACTACTACTCACGATCAACGTGAAGACTTTTGGTCAATTTATGTTGGGGTCGCTTTCGCTCTTCCCCCTGGTCACAGCCAGACAGCCAGCTAGCTAGCTAGCTGGAATCAGTCTTCTCATATCAATCACTTCGGATGACGTAACAGAAATCCAATGACGTTTGCTAACCTTCAGGTGTTGGTTAACAACTGTCGTTACTGCTGTTTCTGCAGCACACTTAATATCACTCCGGATTTTCTCGGCACGAGCATTGATGTCACGTTAAAATAAATACCTAGTTAACTTCTCTCCAAGTACGTTTTTGGCATCCTCATATACCAACCATCCATAGATAGGCTTTACGATCGCATGTTTTCTGCGACCAGTAAGGCGCAGACATACACGAGCCCGTACTAGTGTGTGATTCGAGTCCAAACTGGTATTCCAAAAACAGCAACAATCCTCCACCGATGGCTTCTATCGATGTGATTTGTCTGCGTTCATCGTTGGTTTGAAGTCGACAGAATCCATGCAAGACAGTGTCTCTCCTCATACCTGAACTTAGTGCTGACCAGAAACAAGTGATTGTCACAACAAAATTGAAACCAACGGCCACCGTTGTCGATTCGTTGGTATACGATTCCGTAAATACTCCTAACATGCCTTTCCAATTGATTCAGATTCCCTATTTGAGTGTTAAAATCACTTGGCATTATGACTACATCTGAAGGTTTTGCTTTCTACACAAAAGTTGACAGCTTTTCTCACCCTTTGTATTATCCGAACTGGAGTCGGTGGGTGTGTGGGCGGACGTTACAAACAGGCATTCCCTAGTCCTCACAGGTCCATACAGTCGAGTACATGGACGACTGTTATTTAGCCGAGAAGCACACTTTCTGCTCTACTCCTCAATGCTATGCCCACACCAGCGACTTCACGAGACCTGGCCACTGGGTCTCCACGTACCCTTTGGGTGAATTTTAGAGATTCACTACAATAGTCAGGCAACGTCGATTTAAAACGACACTTGAATCCTGTATGCGTGTCTCAGAGACACAGTATACATCCGAAGTTCGAAATTTCAGACTTCTGGTGAATGATGTTTGTTGTCCGATTTGGCGCAGAGTTCGGACGTTGAAATCGGTAGCGGGTGGGACCTTAGAAGACTGCGGATGAGGTTTCGATGGCTTTGATGGTTGGCAATGGTTGCAGAGTGAGGTTGCGGAGGGCATAAGATGCCTAGAATCGGTGTCAGGAGGTGAAGGCAAAGGAGTAGACAGAGTTGAGGATAGATTATATTTGGTTGGGTCTTGTGTAGTACTGGAAGCGTGCAGACAATTGACACTTTCCGGCTATCCACACCGTGGAAGAATATTTCTTCTTGAGGTACCTGGAAGAGTACAGGATTTATACGACCACCGAATCCATGAAACATCTACTCCAGGTCTGTCATAGACGGCCTTTTGGTGAGTTTGAGATCATGCTTTTGAATTGTACTAAGAGTAGTTGTTGCAAGGATAGGGATGCCGCGAGTGAATGGGTCGTGTTATTTTTGGGGTCGACCTTTTTACCCTCTACGTTTGCATCGAGTATGCAGCATCAGTGTGGCACTGCTGGTCCTCCCAGGAACAAAACACCTTACTGCTGTCACACCTCATTCAGTTAGCAGCAGTAAGACTTGGTCGTCATACCGCTATCACAGTGTAGTAATTTGTACCAAATTGGTAACTGGTTTTCGTAACACAAGTTTCCAAGAAATCCTTCTGGTGTGGTAGCGTCTCCAGGTAACAAACATTTCACCAGCATAGCTCGTAGGGTCATTGTGATGTGCAAGCTGGACAGTCATATCATGGTAGTAGCAATCAGTCGGGACTCTAAAGAGAAACATGTGGGTAAGTCTAGGTTAATTATCACCCTTTTGTTATCATACTTACTAAAACAGTCAGCTTATGCCACTGGTTATTATCTAGTGGAATCTGTCTGCAAGAAAGTACTCTCTGAAAAATTTATACACAGGAATTATATCAGAACAGGTAAATGTCTACTACAGAAAGCTCCACAAGCTTGAGTCATACACTGAGGAAACAGTATTAAACATGTGGTACTTTTAGCGAAGGCTTAAATTAGTAATTTAAGCCGCACCAATAATACACGTCATGACTGGAAATCAATTTACGAACTGGTGGTGACTTAGAACAAGTCGAGGAGCCCATGGGGTAAAATGCTGTGTCGCAAATTATTTGGTAATGCATTGGAAGGTACCTCCGGTTTTTAATCTGGGGGATTTGTGGAGATTTATAAGTTGACTTTAGGTTGGAATTCATCATGGGCTGACATCAGTTGGAGGAACATTGGAAACTTGGAAGCACTGGACAGCTGTTTGGTACCAGTATGGGACTCCTCAGAAGTGCGCACCCACGACCCAGCCAGGGATTGATGACTAGCTTCGAAAGATGATTCACGAAGTTGCAGTGAGAAGTCATGACCAGTGGAGCACACCAAGTTGAACATGATGACAGTTACTCAACGACGACATTGGATGGTCGCGATGTATCGTGAACTGACAGAAGCAGGAAATATGCAGGAAATATGGTCCAATGGTAACGCGCTGACCGCGAAGCCTGGTCCTGGGTTCGATACCTGGCGGCGTCATGGGTATGTACTGCTGAGGGGTCTCGTACCAGGACGAAACATGCCCAGTGCTCCCAGGTTCCCAATGTGAAAGGAAATGTGGAATAAGGTCTTCGATAAACGGGTGAATCCCAGCTGATGTTCGATAGAAAGCTTTAAAGGTAGGAAAAAGTATTTCCTACAGTAATATGATTTGTACTGTCTGCTTTCAGATTGGCAGCCTTGTGCTATTTTTAAGACAGCTGGGATATACGTCGTTTCTTCGTGGCATATTTTTGATTCGAACTTTAAGACGAAGGAAGCTGAGATATAGAAACGCACATGCGACCAGTCCCTCGGTGGTCTATAATTATTAATATATGGTAACTTATTGTGCAAAAATGAAATTTGTAAGGAACGTCAGTGTCATTGGTATATATATGAACGTGTGTATGTTCAGTCATAGACTTGTGTTGAGTGAAGTAGCAGTAAAGTAATGTTATTTACATCAGATTGACAGCGGTGATATAGGGGGGGGGGAGGGGGGAAGAGGAGTTAAGACTAATTAGGGAAATTATGCTGCTACTCCTTTCACCACACTTTATTGCAAAGCTACTGATCATTATTTCAATACATAAAATGGTTCATGATCCATTGATACTTTCAACCTGATCACTACATGAAGTCCATTTCTTGTTGTCTCTGTAATTTTAATAAATTTCTTTCGAAGCTAGGAAACTGCATTTTATACGTGTGAAACCCTCGTAAGATCTGGAATTACTTGGAAAAAGACAAGTAAAACAGGTCAAACTACGCTGTTATAAAATTATTAGTTAGGAGAGTTTTACATCCATCAACTAGGTCGCGATCAACAAGGTTATGTAGAAATGCAGGTAAATATCAGAATAGCTTGGTAATTTAACATATTACTCATTATGTATTACCTTACGTAATAAAACTAATCTCTAACTGTACATTCTAACACGTGTGAAAACGGAGGAATAAGTGATGAACGTAGATGACTGACAGTGGGTATATCTCACCAGTAACTACCAATTTTGTCTCTAAAGATGTTTGAGCGAGGTTAAGTTAGGGTTGTGGGGTATGTACGATCGAACGAGCCCTAGGGAATGATGACAGTAGGCTTAGTGATTTCCTAGTAGCATTTACACCCTCGATTGAAGGCCTAAACTATTTCCATTAAGGCATCGCCCAACCCGTGAACGGAACAAAATTGTTACTCTCACTTTTCCAATGCTGTAGTCATTAGGCAGGGTCTTTAGATCGTGTCGAAAATATAGGGTGCAGCGATCTGAAACAATGTGAACAGAAGGTCGGTGGGATAAAACATATGGTGAAGTAGGAGATGGATTGATTTGTTTAAGAAACAAGGCATAGTGCTCCAAAGCCGTTCGTTTCATCCCTCTTTGTCAATGGAATCCACCCCCATGATGCCATGCTTTGGTTGACCGGATTATTTATGTTGCTATTTACGTAATTCCACACAAACGTCCACATTATTTACTAATAAGCTCTCTATGTGTGGCCATGAACAAGAGAAAAAACGGCATCCTGAGAAACAGGCATACAAACAAATACATCATTGTGTGCACATGAACTAAATCAATAGACTGTGTTATAAGTTATAGACATAAACCTAATACCACACCTTTGGCCGCCTTCAAAGAATTTACTTCAGATATTTTTGAGACCAAATCCCCTTTGAGCCGTGTTGCGTCGTCGCTGCTAACGTCCACATTCGAGTGCCCCACTCCGTCTTCCTTGGTCATCCTAGTGTCATTTTTCTTGAAAATCCCACGTCGAATGTCAAGTCAGCAGCTATTCAATCGTCCAATAAACTTTAATTTCATAATTCACACTCAGCTGACCTGTTAATCGTGAACATACAGTTGCAACCATGTCCATTTTATAATGGCTCACCCATATTTTCTGAACTTTCCCGACTATCAATAACATCAATCCTATATTGAAGTGATGAATTGCAGATGCAATATGCAATATTTTTTTACAAGCTAGTGTAAACCAGTTGATTTCTTCTCACCCGCTCTTAAGCCTTGTGTGGCCATACCAGGCCTTCAGCGGATGACGATTTAGTCTAGCCACTCACCTGGGGCAGCGCCGGTATGCCCGACAGACGGTTGGATGTTGACCAAACTTGTAGAGTCTATGTGACTGGTCTAGAGACTGTGGCACAGATCAGTTCCTCGAATGTCGTATCACCAGACATTTGTTCGGATTAGATGTAAAAAAGGAGGAAGGAACGAAACTATGTCCAGCAAAAGTGAGTGAAAGGAAGTGAAAAAACATGTTGAAAAGAAGTGGAACGGAAGAAAATTCAGGTTTGTTGTTTGGGGAAAGGCCAATAGCCTATATTAATTCTTTCCCAGTAGATTTCTGCGCCTGTCCAATCCCCTTTTGAACAGGCCAATGGATGACGCGGACACCACTTCCGGGGGTCGGTTCCAGGCATTGACTACTCGACGCGAGAACTAGTACACTGCGAGAATATGTTCGTCCTCTGCTTTTGTAGTCTCCTACTATGTCCTCTGAGGTGTTCCGACCTAGTGGGAAGGAAAAGGGAAGGTAGGTTGGGTTCGAGGTCATTTTTTAGAATCCTGCATAGTGTGATTAGGTCTCACCTCTGTCTGCGATAGGACAAAGTGAAGAGGTTCAGCTCCTCAAGTTGGTTTTCATAGGTACGGCCAGCTAGTGGCTGCCCTCTGAACTCTTTCTAGAAGATCTGCGTCACCTTCCATAGAAGGATTTGTCGCCTGTGTAGTTTTCCAATTTAGACCTCACTAAGGATGTGCATAAAATGGTGAACATATCACCACTTATTTTCACAAATGTTCTACGCAATGCCCAGAAAGTCTTAAAACTCCGAGCTGCTACCAATAGACGGTGTGCCATAGTTTTCAAGTCATAACTCACTGTAATTCCTAAGCCATTTTGGGTCAGTACAGACGGTAGACGAGTCCCACCAAGATAGTAGGTATTGCTGCATGTGTGCCCCAGGTGCATGCTCACACACTTACCTGCATTGATAGGTATCAGCCACTTCTCTGACCAGGTAAACCAGCTGTTTATATCTGCCCGAAGTGCACGTATATCCTCATCGTTCCTGATTTCCCACCAGAGTTTTTACATCATCAGCGTGGGGAACTGTAGAAGATTTCGTGATATTTGGCAGCTCATTCACGTATAGGAGAAACAGCAGGGGGCCTAGGACTATGCCTTACTGCCCTCCACTCTACCGAGTTTTGAGAATTGGTCCTAACTCTTTGCCTCCCACCAACAAGAAAGTCTCTTATGCATGCGAGCAGACTGCCAGTGATTTCGAAACTTTCCAGCTTCTCGAGCAACCTAGAATGAGGTACCTTGTCGTACGCCTTACTAAAGTCTATGAAAATGACACCTACAGGTATCCTATCATCTTTAGACCTGACCCTAATTTCTCTGACTGTAGGGAGGTTTGCCAAGGAAGAGGAATTTCTACGAACAGAGTGTTGCTCTCTAGGTGGACTGTGATGGCTTTCTTGATTATGCTATGAAAGGTAATGACAGAATCAACTGTCACTGAAATCCACACCAGCCAACTACTTGATTTCCAAGAAGGATTATACGGTTTATGTAACACTATCAAGTGATGGTTTGATCAAACAGTAAGAAGGTGTTTATGCGAGTTGGTCGAAATAAACTAAGAAGGATAATTTGAGGAATAATAGCGTGATAGAATGTTCCTTATGTTAAGGAACGAAATGAGTCAGGAGAATGTGTTGAAATTATTCCGAATTATAGGTCTAAAGCGGTATCTTCGGCATGGAATTAGGAAGGTTCGAAGGTCCGCTACGGGAGGGGAATTTCTACGAAAGCCATGCTGCGAACAAGACGATAGAGTGCTGTTCTCTAGGTGGACTGTGATGGCTTTGTCGATTACTCTTACTAGGATTTTCACTAGAGTACCAATCAAACTTAACGGTCTTTATTTTGTTGTGAACTGCTTGGAACCTTCCTTGTGTGTAGGTGCCACTATGGCTCCTTTCCTGTCATGAGGGAATGTCCTTTCAGTTAGAGATGGTATGAACACAGTAGTCAATGAGCCGGCTACATAGTGCAAGCTTTCTGCTCAGCCACGGATGCAACTCACCCGGTCCCGTTGATTTTTCCACGTCAAGATTACTTCATATCCGAAATGCATCGTTGAGATGGATATCCACAGATTTTATTCTGTCAGATGCCAATGCTTCTACCGTTCGATAAGTGTCCATAGTATATTCCTGTGTGAGGACCTCAGCAAAATATCCTGCCGTGGTTCCCGCTTTTTCCCTATCGTTCTCAATCAAACGGTCAGTTTCTGTCCCATTGATTAGGCCGGGTATATCACAACAAATCTTATTTCCACAGCTCACATAGGAAAATAACCTCTTTGGATGTCCCAACGCAGCCTAGGAAAGGCGTGTTTCAAAGCATATTTGAGACGGGCGGAAAGCCTCCAGGTAAACAGCTTCCATATTCGCTTTCCTTGTGTTGGGTCTAGCCGGTGCATCAGCCCGGTATAGGACGTCTGCTGCGAATCTAAAGATGATCACGGAGTGATCACATTTACCAAGGGGTGCTGGGTGCCGGATGAAGCACACACCAGCTGAGTGTGAGAATACTCAGTCTAGAACCATTGGAGCATACTGATGATCATACCTGGTTTGTGTCCTACCGCGCTGCATGAGGACTAAGGAAATTGATGTTTCCACCAACCTGTGGTCAAACGAATTACGGGGTGCTTTTGTTGTCAGTCTATCCCAGTCAACTGATGGTGCGCTGAAGTCTCCTACGGCTAGTCATCGGCAGGAGGAGGTCTGCCGCCCCACCTTCAGGGCTTCGATATTTTTCGATTACATTAGAATCTTGTCTTTTACATTTTGGTCGGCAGTGCAGCATTTCACGTGTCCCAATTTAATGTGCAACTGCCTCTATGGCTTTCACAGTTAAGGCATTCCTAACATAAATGATGACGCCATCGCCTTTGCGTGCAAACTTATAGCTTCCAAAAGGGACGAATCCTCGTAAGTGTGCTTCAGTCTCTGATCCAGGAAGAGCCAAGCTTCTGAGGTGGCAATGACATCAGGACTTTCGTTGCTTGTCACATCGTCAAACTCAGCCCGCCTGTTTAAAAGGCTACGTGCATTTGTATGCAAGACAACGAAACTACTCAAACGAGTTTCCATCCCATCCATAGGGCTTCGGCATCATTTACTGCTGAGACCTCACCACACGAAAACCCACTACTTTCAGATCTTGCCCTCCAGCTGCTAATCCGGATTTTGGTTCTGCTTCTCGTTTTTTGATTCTATCAGCAAGAGCCAGATCCTTTCGCATGAACACTCCAGATCCTTGGAGCCTATGAGAATTCTTCGGAATCTGATTCCTCTCATCTGCCTACTTGAACACGACTTCAAGCAATCACAACTGCGACCAAACTGTCTCCAGCCTACAGCCGGACGGTAAAGTCACTCTCTTGTGTAGTAAACCACCTTTTCCTAAAGATAATGGACAGTTTTCCGACTAAGAATCGCCAGATTAGGCCATTTCGCTCAACATATTTTGCAGAGCGCAAAAATGATCGCTCGGTCACTGCACAACCTCCTTTCTGAACCTACCTTGGGTGATCATTATGATAATCCGAGAGTGTTTACTAAACCGACACCATAGCTCCAAAAACACAGAATCGAAAATCGCTTCATGGAAACCAGTTACTGGACTGGTGAGCTGAGCTGTCATCAGTCACCTGCTCCGAATCCTCCTGCAGCAGGTAAAAGTGGGCACCACACTCAATCCATCACTGAATTTAAGCATCGTGACTATGCAGCACGTATTCTGAAACCCATTAAGAGTTTACGAGCACCTCAACAGTACTTTTGGCGGCTTCAACGGTTGACGGTGCCTTTCGCAATCCAGGTGATCCAGTTAGTCTCCAGTCACATGTTGAACGTGATTAGAAAAAGCCATCTTAAACCCAACGGTATCATGCTTCCTTTGCACCCGTCAGGCTACATCTACGCAATACACAGAAGGTAAAAATAAAGGCATCCTAACCCTTGATTCCAGTGGATGCGTTGGAACAGTGCCACATGACCACAAATAACCTGAGTAACTCAGTCCCTCTTACTCATCTGATGTACTTTAGGTCGGTGTTGAATCGGTCAATATGCCTAACTCCACTGTTTCCTCACTTAACCGTCTCGTAGGAATTCCCGCTAATGTTGGCACAAATCATCTACCTGATACCACACAACTTACCTGTGTGGTTCCCCACGACATTGGTAAGTTGTTTTTTCAAGACATCTGCAGTTGCTTTCAACCGTTAGCGCGTTCATTTTCTGTGTGCCCGATAACTGCCCGCTAAATCCGCGATAAGGTAGCCAGTTTGACCTTACTTATGTTGTTGTGCTCCCTTTCAATCATTATGATAACCGAGGCATGGAGCACCCCAGACATTTCTGACTTGGGCACTTACCTTGACAATTAAGCACTTTTTCGTGGCAATAGGATAAATGTCGGTTCGTCTGCGGATTCTACGCAGTGGGACATCCCGGAGCTAAGATTTGTAAACGATTATGTCTGGGTTATTTTGCAGCCCGTAGGCTGCCTATCCTTCCCTTTCGGGTGCATGCATCGTCCTCTCAGTTCCACTTCCGAGTATGACAACTTGTTGTCAGAAGCCTTCGGGTATGTTGCCTCTGTGTCATTTTCAGGAAAGATTATATGCGGGGAC